TATTTTTGCTAGTCAATACTCGCCTTTAAATTAGATTACAATGAATTAGTCAGCTCCTCATCACTTTGGAATATTCCTCTTAGTACCTCACGTGTGTAATCTTGATATTAAGCAAATTACCCAAAAGTCTAGAGTGAGTTATTTACTAAGAAAGTGTCCTTTAAGTTTTATATTTAGAAATTTCACCTGATCTAACCTTTAACTCATTCTCTGCTCTTACCTTTAATTCTAACTTCAAATTTACTTCTCGTTTGTATTGTCTCTTTTCTTGCTAACAGGGGTATATATCATACATTTTCTTGCTTTGAGACCTTTGACAATGGAGTTCATTTACCCAGTCTTTCCCTCCAATGTTTCATGATTTTTAAACAAATTTTCTCATTTCTTTCAGATCTCAAGCAGTTTCTTTTTTTTTTTTTTTTTGGTTAGGCATTCCTTGATGAGAATATGTAAACTACATCTAATTTCTTCCACATCTTCCCACTGTATGCTTCTATGTAGTGTTTACCACTGTATGGTATGTGATATTTTACTCACACACTTGCTTACTATCTCTTTTCACTGAAACCAAAGTTCTGTGAAAGCAGGAATGTGACCTATTTTGTTTATCTGCTAGAATTACAATCTTGAAAAGTGCAAAGGAAGTAGCCAGCATTTAATAAATAGTGGTCAGAATTAATACTTTTTCTAAGGATAAAGCTGAGAGAAATATGAATTAGTATAATTTTTAGAGTTCTGTGTATCAGCTCTCCAAACTCTTAAAAGTTATTCTGCTGTCTCACATTTGGTCCAGGTAAATTCCTAAATTAATTTTATTTATTAAAACCTGTTTAATATTTCTAAATGGATATAATGATCTTTTTAAAGCACCCCTCAAATGGCAACAAACAGGGGTGGAAGGAATTGCCTTTGTTTGAGGCCCACTGTCTGATTTTTCTGTCTTTGATTGGTTCTTTGATGCAGAAAAGCAAAAATAGGTTTTTGAGGATGAGGATTCTCTCTCAGTCACTGTCTCTGATAGGCCTGGACTCTTCTGTCTTTGACTGCTTCAGGCTAGTTTTTATCGTGCCCTTACTTTCTCATGTGGCCCACATAAACAGTTTATTTGCTAGCTCTCTCTAGGGATCATCTGAATAGACTCAAGAAATCATAGGAAAGGTGCTTCTCATCATGAAACACACATGTTCTTGAGTTTAAAAACTCTCACCAGAGTGAGGACCTCTAAAAAACTGGGGTTTAAGATCATAATGTACTCAAGCATGGGTTTTCCACAGCTCCCCATGCTTGAGTGTTCCCCTTCTTGGTAATTCACACCTGGCTCAAACATGGACACTTCTCTGTCGATGTGGTAAACCTCATTCCTGATTGGAGCTAATTAGAAAGAGAAAAATCTCTAGAATAAAGCAAAACTAACCAATCAAATGAATATCAGCAACATAAAAATCCTCTATGCGAACAGAAAAATCCATTACTTTTAAAACTACTATTTCAAGAATATGTCATGATTACCTCTCCCCTCCACCCCAACACAGACACACACACAAAAAGGAAAAAAATGTGTTTTTTTTAAAATATAGTTTTTCTCTATTTAAATTTCAATTAAATATTAAAACTTTTGACATACTTCAAGCTCAGAAATTGTTGACAGAAAATTGCAAATTAGTGGCAGCACTAATAAATACAAAACAGTGGATCTTTGGGATTTTTGATTTTTGTGGTGGTGGTGATCAGGGGTATCTGGGCCTTTTATTGTAAAGATTTCACAAAGAACAGAGGGTGTTTTAAAGAGCAAATGATCATTTTTCATAGTGTTTTCTGTGGGCTGAGTTCCTTTATAAAGTCTAACCTACCAGATTTTGGTTTTCAGAAATCTAAGCTGACCATGTTTCAGAATTGATCTTTGCCTTGTCAGTGATCTTAAGCAAAATTATGACAATATTTCCAAATCCTGATTTTATAATGCCAAGGAACACTGACAGTGATGCTTCAGGAGGTTAATGATGGTCTAATTATCTTGCACCAATAAGGAAAAAGAGTCAGCCTTTTGGCAAGATTATGTCAGAACTAGTCAGATAATATAGATATTTCTACCTCCATGCATTTTCTAAAGGGGGATGTTGCTGCTTTAATTAAATGTTATATGAATACATTTCAAGTAGATCCAAACACAGGGCAAAGTCTGTTTCAGAACTGCTGTTCTTACATTTAAAATGTATTTGAAATGTAATTAAAAAAAAGATAATGGAAAAGAAAAACTAAAATAACTCGAAACAAGCAGAATATAGTAGCTCATCATTACACTAATATATCAAACAATGTGATCTTAGCTTAATTATCCCCTTTGAGAGTTGAGAAAACTAAGCACAACCTTCAATTTACAGCTGTTTGGTGCCGGGAACCTGAATTATTATTGAAGATGAAGAGGGGGGGAAAGTTTATTTATTGTGACCTCCACTCAGTTTTTATTCATCGTGGAAAATCTGTATATTCACAAATGAGGGCTATTCATCCTTAGGGCCGCAGCATTCTTCAGCTGTCCCAGCCTACATCAACTGCACTTCTCCAGCTTTTGTGTTCATCTCGAAGGCTCTTCATCCAGATTGTTCATCATCTTGATGGTCGAGCTTTATCTTGCTTTTGTGCAGCTGCATTCCGCTTATCCAAAGTGCTGAGGGAGACAAGGGAGAGGGAGCGAGCTAGAGAGAGTGAGCAGGAGAGAGTGGGAGAAAAGAAAAGAAAGCAATGGTCTGGCCGGTGCACATATGAGGATAATTTGTAGTTTCTCAATAATAATATAAAAAAAAGGAGGACAGGCTAATTACTGGCTTAACTAGGGCAGCCTGTGGATCTTCATGTCAAAAGGACTGCCGTAATTATTTGCCATCAAAGCACATTCATATTGTGGCACAAAAGAAGGGCCTTTTGCAAATGGATCTTGCTAATAAACAGGGCTGAGAGGAGCATTATGTGTCTCCCTGGTTGCAGGCACATTAACACAGTGACATGGAGCATAACTCGGGGGCCCAAGGAAAAAAACACCAGAATGATAATTATCCCCTTCCCCTCCCAAGCCCCTTTGTGTTGGACTAGGAAGCTGAACACGACCTATTGAAGGGCCCAAGGCAGGCTATTAGTGACCCCTGAGCCCTGACAAGGTGCCTCTGTTCTTTTAAAAGCCTGCCTCTTGATGTCAGGAGGGTCACGTGGACCTGTGGCTAGGCTCGAAATGGTCCAGCAAACACTTCAACCTTAAAGACACCTGGAAGGTCATGACCAGTTTAATGCAGATGGAGACAAGGTTTTGTTGAATCCTTACTGAAGTTTCGCGCTCTCTCTTTTCTTCTTTGTCCATGCTGGCTCACAAGCTTGCTTTCAAGTCTTCAAAAGTATATCTAGGAGGGGGAAAGTTCTTTTCTGCTAGCAAATGAATAGAATCCCAGGAAACAGAAAGATGGATGTAAATGCAGTCCCTTGGATTAGGCGGCAGAAGTAAACACTTTGGTTCCCCACTGGTAGGGGTCACTGGAAAGGCATAAGTTGCCCTTCTTGCTGGGCAGGTGCCACCAAGAAGGCTTCTGTGCAATGAAAGTCACAGTGGACTCAGTTTGCCTGACATTGCAGACTGCTGAAGCCCCAGCTCCTCTCTGGAGATCCAGCCTGTTCAGATTTCACATAGAGCATCGATATTCAAGCATCAGTCTGGTGGATGAACCTGGCTTCGTTTAGATTGAAATTTTTAAAAGTATGCTTCCCTCTCTTTGATTTTCCTATGAGGTGTCTTCTGACACAGAGGGGTATGCTAATCCAAAACACAGAGAAGGTGTTATAGGTACCAGCTTCAAGTCCAATTCCTGTAACTTTTTATTTTACTAGCAGAAAAGTTAAAGGTGACTATTCTGTTACAAAAATTCTTACTGCTTCACAAAAGTACATTTCTCTATGCATTTAAATATTTAATTGAGAGGTTGGGAGTTTATAAACTTCAAATTAAAATATTAAGAGTTTCTAAGGGAAAATTTACTAGAAATGATTTGGAAACATTGAAAGATTTGTATCTGTGGGAAAATAGAATTAAAGTTTTTTCAGGATTTGAATTAAAAGTGTGCGGAAGTCAGCTATCTCTGAAGTAGGTGAATCTAAGGAAATTATGTACAAGTCACACTAAAGTTCTATATTTCCTAGTGATTTTTCAGTTTCTCTTCTTGCCAGCTTTTCTTCTTTCCCTTTGTGTGATTCTGTCTCAAAGTATTTTAACATGAAGTAGTTAAAATATGAACATACTAATTAGAGATAATCAATTTCCCAAAATTAGTAGCTTAGTAAAACAAAAATAATCAATATAGTTGATTTTTTCCTTTTTCTAAATCATTTATTGTGGTATATATATAATTTTGTTACTTTTTAAAAAATTTTTATTAGTGAAACACCATGAGGTACAGTTGTAGACTTACAAATTTTTGTGCTTGGGTTTCAGTTATACAATGATCACGTACCCATCCCTTCACCAGTGCCCATTCTCCACCACCACTAATCCTAGTATCCCTCTCACCCTCCATCCCCCAATCCCACCCTGCCTCTGTGGCAGGGCACTCCCTTTTGTTCTCTCTCTCCTTTTGGGTGCTGTGGTTTGCAAAAGAGGAATTGAGAGACATTCATGTTCGATCTATAGTCTACTTTCAGCATGCATCTCAAAAAAATGTAATTTTAAAAACTATGCTATTCCTTATTTTTACCTTCTGGCCTGAACCTTTCTTCTTTTTTCCTGGAATCTTATATTCTTATCTCTAGCTGCCCACAAGACATCACATTTTCAAAGAAAATGCAATTCAAAGCTAACATATCTGTAATGGGATTCCTGATTTGCCTCCATATCATTCCCAATTGCTCTGTTCAGTTTTCCTAGTCTCAGTGGATGACAATAGCAACTTTCCAGTCTCTAGATCATAACTGTGAATTATTTTGTCTCCTGTATTGTTCTTACCACATTAAAAGTCTGTATGAAAAAGGGTTTCTGACTTGAGTGGCACACATAGGGCAGCTCACTTGCTCTATGTGTAGAATCAACATCAAGAGATTTCAGAAGCATGATTTATTGGCAGTAGGGCAGCTGGTGGTCCTGGAGATCCTCCCACCCAAAAGAAAAAATGCTCATCTGAAAATACTCTTGTTCTACCTTCAAAATATATTTAGAATATGACTTTACTACTGACATTATGGTTTAGTAACCTCTACTGATACTTTGGTCTGAGCAACCTTACTGCTTGACACTATTAATCTATTGCCAACTTAACAGATCTCCTATCTACTTTCATTTTCTCTAACTTACTAATTAGACTAGTCCTTCTATACTAGCCTGCCACTTTGCATATATGTTACAAATACCCACAAAGCTCTGACATTATAGCTAACTTTTCCTTCCCTTGATCATTCTGCTCCAACCACAGTGCCATTTAATTTTTTTCATAAACACAAAGCAAAAGTGCTCCCATCTCAGGCCCACCAAAATACTACACATCCAACTTATAATTCAAGATGTAATTTTTTTATTCATTTGTATTCAGATTACACCCAGAGGTACTCAGGGTTACTCCTGGGTCTGCATTCAGTAGCTACTCCTGGCAGTGCTTAGGGGAACCATATGGGATGCCCGAGATTGATCCTGGGTCAGCCATGTGCAAGACAAGCACCCTAACCACTGTACTTTTGCCCTGGTCCCAGAATGGGATTTCTTTAAAAAACTGGTCCAAAACACCATCTGTAACTCTGCAACTGCCAATACTTTCTGGGTTCCCTAAGATCTTTGTAGTTGTTGTTTATTTGGTTGTTTTTTGTTTTTTGTTTGTTTGTTTGTTTGTTTGGGGGCCACACTCAGTAGTGCACAGGCCTAATTCCTGACTCTGTTCTTAGGAATCACTACTGGTGGGCCTCAGGAATAAAATGAGGTGCTGGGGATTAAACCTGGGCCAGTCATGTGCAAGGAAAGAACCTTGCCTTCTCTAATACTGCTCCCACCCCAGCTCTGTTTTATTTTTTAACAAAATCTGTTGGACATACTGTGAAATACATGTTTTATTTATGAAATTAATCTCTTTTGCTGTTAGCATTTTGCCCTGTAAGCTCCAAGAGGGTAAAGGTCTTTGTTCATACTTTTCCTCTTACATTGATATTTAGAATAGCTGTATGGAATAGTAAATGCATAGTACTGGTGGTTTGTTGTGATGTATGTCTAAATGTTGATTCTCGTCTTTTAAAGTTTGAATTTGTGTTTAATTCCCTGTCCAGATTTTCAACTCTTGCATAGTTTACTCTTCAAAGTCATTTACTTTGATTTAAAACTATATGTGTGATGTAAATTATTGACTGAGCAAACAATGTATGATCAAAGTGCATATTGATACTAGCACATGCAAAAGAATTTTTATTGAAGAAACAGTACTTTTTTCTTTAATTATCTGAAAACAAAACTAATCAGGTTTCCCATTGTGGGTCTGAGCATCATGAGCTGGATTAAATAATAATCTTGCCTGGTTATGTTTCCAGGCACTCCCCTACAAACAGAGGAATTTCCTTTCCTCTTCTATAGAATTGGTCACATAATTGTTTCCATAAGAAGAGACTTTACTCTGTGTCTTAAGTCTGTATGTGCTTATGTCCTTGAGCACCATTACATAGATAAGCATATCTGAAGACAGTGAATAGGTCCTGTGATCCAAACAAGATCCTTTAAACAGAGAGAGGGAAAAATTGAGTGCCCCCGACTAGTGTATAGATCAAAAAACAGGCATACTGAACAGCTACATTTAGAATATCTATCTAGTTTTGGTTTCTTGTTAACACCATCAGGCAATATAAATCTGTTTAGTCTTTAACAAAAACTGTCTTACTTTGAATGTGACCAACAAAACCTTGTATTTAGCCATACTTTTTTCAGGGTAAAACTTTGTTGCATTTGTTAGAGCAATGGCTAAAATTGTTTACTATTTACTCTTTGCCCAGGAAATAACAGTAATAACATATGCCCATTTGTGTATTCTATATCCATGTTTAAAACCAAACTGCACTTAGAGATATAAACATGTGAAAGCATGAATAGAAATGGAATTAATTTGTATACATATGTATGTGTATATCCAGACCAATATATGTGTGCATTCCTGTCTGTGTGGCTTACAAATAAATTAGCTATGATGTATATATAAAATATATGTTATATATTATATTTAAAATATTAAACCTTTTAGACCTTCAAATAAGGCCCACATAATGCATATAGTTTGTAGTATTTTTATACCTGTTTAAATTATATTTCCCTTGAGACATGAACTTTTCAAGATACTACATTGTTACGTTTACTATAGACCATTTGGAAGATGTGGAATATTAAGGAAAAAACAAAAATTATAGATAGATCAAATAATCCATAATGTAAATAAAACCTACTGTTCTGTTGTGTTCATATAGCTTACTTTTCAATTTTGACTGTTCTGAATCCATTATCTTCTGGCCTAAAGATGGCATATGTTCATGAATAACATTATGGCAGACTGGTTCATTCATTTTTGTATTTTAAGTTAATATATATTGGTTTTGTTGACTAGATCCCCTATTGTAGAGCATAGGAATCTATGTATACCATCCTGTCACAATCCACTCTCCATTTACCCATATCCAGTCATTCATCATCTGCCCATCTTCCTCAAGGCTAGTTACAGAACTTCAAGTAATTCCTCCAATTTCCTTTAAGATTGTCTTTTATACAAAGTATTTCTGTATGGCTAATCTCCTGCATCATCCTAGGTCTACATAAACTGTATTTTGGTAATGTGCTATCATGTTACTGTTATTTTTACTTTCCTTTCCTTTTCCCCATTATATCTACCTCCAGTTCATTGGAATGGCTTGGAAAATAATGATGATTCAACACTTTTAGCCTGTAATTCTCAGCTTTCGTTTTCTGGTTATGGTACATAACACATACTTCTAGTGTTTTCATGTCAGCTCACATCTATTAAAATATTTTTATTTTTCTACTCAGCCTTTTGTGAGTGAATAATGCCACCCAAGTAATGCTCAGGAAGCTCAAGGTCGCCTCCCAGTGATTCTCTGCCAACCATATTGGAGATTTGATGTTAGGGTCAAGGACCCTAACATCACAAGGCCCTGTGTAATCCTGGGCCATCCTGGAAGTTCTCAAGAGCCTCCAGTACTATATCTGAAATGGTTGGGGTACCATGTGGTATCAAAGACCAAAGTGAGGTTAACTACTTGTAAAACATATGCTTTAACTTCTATACTATCTCTTTACCACATACATACACTGATAACCACCATTCTACAATGACTTTGGCTATCTAAACTGGGCACAATAGTTAATCACTTCAGCTATATTCTGCCTTCTTATTCTGCAGCTCCTTATCATCTTTGTCCTCTCAAGTCCAGGTCAACTCAGATAATTTTCTCTCCTTTCTGATATTGAAAGAAATCTTGTCATTTTATTGAATCATTAAAAGCTGATTTTTAAGTCTCTACTGAACATGTAAATACAGTTGAAAATACTTCTTTTAATGGCAATTCATCCCATATTTCTTTCTTTCTTATATTTTTAATTTACTAAAATTACCAATTTTGTTCTTAACTAGACTTTACTGAGTGTATAACCTATCCTCTGTTTTCTTAAAGCTGGGTCATGGTTGATGGTCTAATAGAGTGAAAGATTATAAAATCTAGACTTCTGTTTAGTTAGAATTCTAGCTCCATCAATTGCTATTAGTGTGACCTTGACCACTTGAACTTAGGCCTTTAAGCTTTTATTGTCTTCCTTTGAAACCCTTACTTATTTCATAGAATTTGTTAGAAAATTTTAACAAGTGACATGATGTTTTCAAAGGTCCCCGATAGTAGATTTTCAACTGTAGTGTCACTTTACTTTTATTTACAATTTTTACAGTTTAACAAGCCTCTTTGGGTGAGTTCTATTAAAAATGCCTATAATTTCACTGCTGTACTCTAAACTTTTCCATTTAGTTCTAAGCTTATTTGTATCTCTGTTTTATTGGCTTGGAAAATATATAACAACTCTTTCCAAGAATAATTATTGGAAAATTCATTCTATATTTTGGACAATTACAAGTAGTCAGTCTCTCTCTTTCTCTCTTATCTTTAGTATAGATGACCATATATCTCCCTCATGTTAAAACTCACACTAAAATGATTTTATCTCAAAATTTCCTGTTGAAGATAAGTCCATTCATAACTACAAATGTGCTCTTTCTCCTCCTCATTCCTCTGCATTAAGGAACCTCCTTAATCCATTTTCTGAAACTGCTTTGATTACTGTCCTAAATTTTTACTGGACTCACTTTGTAGCTTGCTCTAACATTACTTCTATTGGAAAGTAATGTTTCCATATTTGTGCACATGTTCTCTCTCTCTCTCTCTCTCTCTCTCTCTCTCTCTCTCTCTCTCTGTCATACATACAACATACACACACAAAAACAAACATACCACCTTTGTTAACTACAAAAACTGTCTCAAAGAGGAAACCTGACATAAAATTATTGCTTGTATATACACCCTGAGGTTTCCAAAAGTAAAGAACAGTCATCATTTCATGTTCAGTGAATATTATCAGGACATTTCTGACATTGCCATCTGCCAGTCTGCAAACCTTTATTTATTGACAATGCTAGAGACTGTCATTAATAATGGGAATTCAGTTGTGAATAAGAACTAAGATAGACATGGTCTTCCCTTTTGGGTTTGGTGAACTATTCAAAGAATTTCTTTGTGATACTCCCATATTAAACACTCAAATTTTACAGTTTAACAAACCTCTTTGCATAAGTTCTATTAAAAATGCCTATAATTTCACTTAGATAAAAAGTATATATCTCTCCAAATTCATCATGAAATATAATTTGTCAGTAAATTTAATTAAGAAATTTTACATTTACATAAAATGATTGTATAACATATATAAATTTATGTGTATGTGTTATTTAAGTACCAAACACTGTGAACTTTGTCAAACCACTGCATGAAGGTTTGTGCAGATGGCTTAGGTGTAAAAAAATCATAAGAACAGGAAAAGAATATTCATATAGGAATGATTTACTTTTTTTAAGGTCTTCTGCTTA